TCTCACAAAATCATTTGTTTTTCTCATTGATTGCTGCAAGAGTTTCTGAGTGCTATTCGTTTTTCTTTTCAAAAATAAGGATTAAATTTTTTTTACTTTATACATATTCTTAAATTATTAAAGAAATTAAAATTTCAATTTGTATCCTAAAGGAATTATGAAATAATTCACAGCAAAAATTGTGAGAAGTTTTTAGAAGTTTAATACTTATCAAATTGTTTGGTATTTTTCAAAAGCTTATCCTTTTTTCTTTTTCAACTGCGATCTGATAATTCTCATAAATTACAAGAATTTCCTTCTGAAACCAACACTTTTCAAATTTAAATCAAATACAGAAATTGCTAGTAGAAATTTGAATCATACATTTCAAGAGAGAATAATTGGAGAAAGATATATATATATATACATATATATACAGATGTGTATGAATTTTATGTCCTTTTGGATTGACAAAAAATGGAAATAATTTTCATCGATAGAAATCCGCGAAATAAAACAGTTTCTAATGCATTTTTTTCTAACTAAATTATAATTCTCTTTTTGTGTTCTTTAACATTTGTTTCATAGTTAATTACATCCTTCAAAATTCTTCTCTAATTTCAATCAACAAATCCGCTTTACTTTCCAACTAATTCGTTCTCTCTAAATTTAAATTTGCTAAATTATGAACCTAATTATTTTGGGCGACAGAATGAAGTGATAAGAGATAAGTAATATATGATGTTCGAAACTGCTCTTTTCCTTCACTAAATTTTGCTAATTTTTAAGCTAGGAAAAATTTTTATAGTTGAGAAATTTTAACAAATTTATTTGATGAAACATATATCCAAACAATATGAGCTATTTTTTTTTAAATTAAAATTGTAAGAAAAAAATGTCGTTTTGCAATAACATCTTTTCATCAGTTTTAGCCTAAAATTTGTTTCCTGTCGTAGGCCTTCAGATTTTGATTTTAAAATTCGCTTTATAGTTTTAAAATTCGTTTCATCGTTTCTTAGCAAGGAAACGTTTTCAAAAATTTCTTTTTTTTTTACAAATTTCGTCCTTTCTTTTTCCAGTCATTTTTTGATTATTAACGATTTGTCAGGTGGTATTAATTTTTAATTTCTGAATTTTCCATCAGTAATATGAAAACTTTTTAATAGTTAAAAAGAAATGGTAGAAATAAAACACTGAATGAACAATGCTAGTTTGAGAAGGAATATTTTACACTAAAATAAAGTTTTAGAATACAAAACAATATAACACCAAATCTGCTCAAATATTTTACAAAGTAAAAAGTCACTTTGCTTTGAAGAGTTTTGAAAATATTCACAGCTATTTGTAAGAAAAATTATTATCCGTTATTAGAAAAGTCAGAGAAAGTTCAGTTATTGATATCAATTATCCAACTAATTAATCCATTAATTAATTCCTCTTTTACATAATTTTATTGTAGTAAAAGTTGGGCAAAAAAAATTTGTCTTAAAAAACATATTTTCATTTTAAAAGAATTGATTTTTCAATGAATTGGTGAAATATGCTCTACAATAATTGCAGAAAAAATAATTCATTAATCAATATTATAATAATCAATTATATTTTGTCAACTGCACAAAAAAATATCTTTATTAGACTGCTTATGAAATTTCCTCTTTCACAAATACGTTTTAATTGAAGAAAATAACAAAAAAATGAGCGAACACAACAAAACAAAACAAATGTAAGGCTGCTATTTTGGAAGTAGATGAAATGATTATTTTGAAAAGAGTTAATTTAGGGTCCAAAAATTTTCCTTAATTTTAAAAATTTTAACAAAACTAATAACATTTCAATATTTAATCTCTATTTTTTTGTTTACGACCAAATACTAATTTTATAATTGAAATTCTAAAATTCCACTTCCCAATTTATTTTGTTTCATTTTCTATCGACAATTTTCATCACTGTAAATCTTCATTGTATCTTATGTACATATTTCATTTCAATTTCAAATTAAAAAATTTAATTTTGAGATACCCAATGTCCTTAAAGCTTCATTTTATCGTGTTATTTGAAAAAAAAAACGAAAAATGGTTCTTTTTCTCTACTTCTTTTTTAACTTCCCTTTTATGTGCCTTCACTTGTCGAGAATAGCACATAAAATAAATTGAAATCATTTCGTTGCACAAATTTCTCAGCATCTGCTTCATCTTTCACAAATTTTTCACCAGTAATTACAATCTGATATTTAAGAAGATGATCTCTTTCACCTTAGCAGAAGATCATACCTGCTTCTGAGTCAATTTTCTTAATTGAACTCAATTATATCATTAATATCGTTATGTATAATAATGCGAAATATTACATTTTCATAAATTTTTTCGAAAGATAAATCGTTTGGTTATCTGCTCAGATGTAACTTTTTGACCCAATTTCATTACATATACAATTAGATTAGCTTAGCGATCTTGAAATTTTTTTTGCCACATCACTCTTGCACGGAGTATTTGCATTAACACATTACCATCTTCCCCTCCCCCATAATTAGCAATTACTTCATCTATCCAAAATTTCCATTCTCATCCTCTTATCCCTCATAAAATGTTTTATCTCTCGAATAATGCAAGAAAATATAATTATATAAGAGTTTTGATGAATTCGATTTACTGAAATGAAAATTTTCTGCGCCAAGCTTTTTAAGTTTGAGAACTAATGCGGAATTTCATCAATTTCCAAGAATATTATTTTCAGTACCACTATATCTAACAAATTTCTGATATTATATTATCAATAAGTTTTCTTTTGGAAAATATTGTCATTTTAGCTATTGTTTTTATCTTTCAAAGCTAACATTAACTGCTTATTTTCCATATTTATACACCTTTTAATTTGTCTTGCTTTTACAACAATAATTATCATCCCTTCTTATTAGTATTTTTCCGTTTTATCAAGCTTCCCCAATCAATTGCTATAATTTCAAAACTTAATTAGTAGAAATTAATTAAAATTTATTTTGATTTAATTTGTTTAAAACAAATAAATAATTATAGAACAGATAGAATGCCGGGTAAGAAGAAGCATGGATCTTATGATATAATATCAGAGGATCTCTATGATTACCGTATTCCATTACACAATGAACTCGCCTATCAACATGGCATTCATTTTGATGCTAAGGTTTGTCTTCATTTTACAAAAATTGGAAGCTATACATATGTACATCTTCCAATTTTCCAATTTCTATATGCAAATTTCATGCAACTTCATTTTAATATCCGTAAATATTCGACAAAAACTTCCAGATTATTGCAAATTTTTGTCGCTTTAGAAATTTTGATTATGCGGTAATTTGAAAAATCACTTTTTGTTGTCCTTTATTTTAAATTTGTTTTTCTTAGTCTCTTCACAGTTGACTTCTCAAATATTAAAAAATGACCAAAAATTTGCGAAAGTAAACGGATTAATGCTGCAGCATATTTGTCCAATTGCTTTTCCTAACAATTTGCTAACATTTTGTTCGGTTAATGAATTTCAAGTTTCTTTGCAACAGTCATTAATCGTTTCCGACTTGCAGTTTCAAGACATAAGAAAAAAAAGTTTCTTTTATAAAAAAAGAGCAATTGGAAATGAAGTATGATAAAATGATCATGAGCTTAATAAGCTATTCACTTATTAAAAGTAGCATTCTAACCTCAACCTTCTAAGGTTTTTTTTAATTTGCCTTTTGTTTTTATTCATACTTGAAAGAAATTATCCATATTTGAATGATTTTGTTTTAAAAAAATTTAATTTGTTTTTCTTTTTTTAATCTATACTTGAAAGAAATCAAAACAAAATACCTCAATCCTATCAATAATGATTTACAAAAGGTAATGGATTTGAACATTTATTTTCTTTATTTGAGGAACTTATTTGCTCTATTTTGTTATCAAATGAGTATAAATTATAGTACAGAAATTTCTTTAAACAATTTGATAAAGTGAAATGGAATAAAATTTAGCAAAGATCTCTTTCGTCGCACTCAATTTTGTTTTTCAAACAAAAAGTTCCGCTTTCAACTAAAATTCAAAATGATAATTATGAAGTGAATTGAAATATAGAGACAATTTATCAAAAAGAATAAACAGTATCTATGCTGTTAGCATAGTCCCAGGCATGTTTTTTTTCTTAAGCATCCTAATTTTTGTCTCTAAAATCTAATTTTAATTTTAGGAATAGCATTACTCCGTATATATTTTTAAAATGACCATTATCTGAAATTATATCTCATTTTGATTATCCTCAAATTTTATAATATAACAAATAAAATCAATTTAGTGATAAGTATTGGAATAAAATTAGTTAACAAAATGATGAATAAATATATTTAAGAATTAATTTCATGACCTGTGGAATTAGTTTCTGTTTCCAATTCCAGTACGTAGGAAGTATGGAAATATCGAGACCCGGCTCACGTATCGAAATTGTTGCTGCAATGCGTCGAGTTCGGGTAAATTCATTTCTGTAAGCTAAATTTCATAACGTAGCATAATCTTTTTTTACTAATCAAAATCACGCTATACTGAGGCTTTCCCGCATTATAATACCGGAATGAAAACCGTTTTTTCAAAGGATCAAAAGGTTTTTTAAAGGATCAAAAGTTTTTTTCTGTATTGAACGGTTGAAAACCTGACAACATGTAAAGATATGTTGAAATTTCACACATTTTGTTTGCAATTGATATTGTTTGTTGTTATTGTTATTGCAGTATGAATTCAAAGCGCGAGGAATAAAGAAACGTCCGGTGGATATTACCGTTTCCATTGATGGTATTAAAGTTGTTTTGCATCGAAAAAAGGTTCATCTTAATATATTTTTTTAAATAAAAAAGCTTGGCTGCGTTTAAATATTAATATTATATTTTGAGAAATTTTACGAATTATAAAGCCTTAATTATGAAATGTTTTAATTTACATCAAGCAATAATTTATACCAAGCAATATACCGATTTCAATATTTTCTAAAAGGTAATTATTTTAGAAAAATCAGAAGGAGGCAATTTGGGACGAAAGCAAACTTTTAGTGATGTTTCATCCCATCCATAGGTTTGCATCTGCTTAGCTTTTTTTCTTTTCTCTTCTCACTTCTCAAATAGCTATTCTTATAATATATTTTTGTGAAACAAAAGGCTTTTATCATATTCATCTGTATGCTTCGAGAAAATCAAAATGCCAGGTTTGCCGCAAAACTATATGAGGATCGAATGGCGCAATACATCATCTCCTATAATTAACTCCATAAATTTTCTGGCAAATTTGAGAAATGAGCACTTACCATTACGAAACATCCTTCCTTCTCGATTTCCCCAGCTGTAGTTCCCAGTCGACTTAGGTCACTGCCATCAGACCGTATACACAAATGTTTATGTTAAATCACGTTTCAATCGGCTTAGATCACTATGATCAGACCAAATGTACACACCAAACTCACATGGGCATTGGGATAGCGAGCTAGTTAGGATGGGGATTTCTGAACGTTTGACGTTTCTTTTGAGGAAGATCCGTGAGTATTGCAGTACACATTCTTCCCAATATCCAAAAAAAAATCAATTAGGTCAAGTTTTCGTCAGATAGAACTATTGATGAAAATTTGATGAAAAAACCTTTTGCTTTATGCGACTACTATTATCCTATTTAGCAGTTGCGACATACGAAATTGCTGGTCTCAGAGGTCCTTCAATTTTTAATCCATAAAGTTCAACTTTAAATATAAAATCTAACATAGGCATAAATTTAACTTGGATCAAAATCCTTCAATTCCAGGGTTTTTTATGTATCTCACGATTCTCAGGATTTACAAATATTCTCTTATATTGCACGTGATGGTGCGTCAAACACATTTAAGTGTAATGTGTTCAAATCTTCCAAAAAGGTTTATTTTGCTTCTTTTTCTGTCCTTTTTGTCTGTAGATTTCAGATATCTTTGTTGGATTTTTGCAGAAATAGCAAGAAGATTTTGCATGTTTAATTTAGAATGTACCATTTAGAACAAAACAAATCTACCGCCATAGTCGCTAATAAAACTATATACGTTAAAAATACTTCGGTAATTGGTAACAAAATCTTAATTATTGCCGTAATAGCAAATATTCACTTTTTCCAGTAAGATGAAAATTTTGGTAGTTTTAAATGTTTAACTTTTTGAACAAATTAAAAAAACTATTTTCGCGGTTTGCTTAACATCATTTGATGCTATTTAAAATAATCACCGAAATAGTCGCGCAAAAGATTGGAGTTTCACGATTCTAGTGAGAAAGTAGAAATCTTTTCCAACCAGAATGGATAAATTCAGTAGCAGCTGTTTTTTATTGATTTTTCAAACATATCATTATAAAAGTTTAAATATATTGAAAACTGTATTGGCAATGTTTCCGAAACTGGAACTCGGTTGAATGGCATAATAAGTTCAGAGAAACAATTTAGAATATTTCAATTTAAATACTCTCTTCCCTACTGCTTCTATTTTCTAAAGCTTAACACGATTGGAACAGATGAAGAGATATTTTTGATTTTCTAGGCAAATGATCCATGATTAATTAAAGTTGCACTTGGATGGAAAAAAAAACGCCATAGGATGATATTCGCAGAAGTAATATTTCCCTAGCACTTAAAGCTGAATCGTTTCAAAGTAAAAACTTAACATATCGATGAATTTAAGAACGGAACCTTTTCGTTTTTTCTTTTCTCCCACAATTCAGTTCCAATTGTTTCAAAAAGACGTGAAAACGGAGGAGAAATGTTAATAAACTTTAGCTGAAACAAAGAAAAATCAATTATCCAAAAATAAAAAATAATTACTGGAAGACTATTATTTTCATTACATAAATTTATTTACTGCAATAAAGTTCAAAAAGTTGATTGACGTATGTAGCATCAAAAAAAACATATCGTTTATTTTTCTCGTCGAAATTCATTTGCTCCATCAAAAACTTTATTCTTTCATCGCTTCACATCTATTAGTTCTCAAAACATAATAATTACCATACAGTTATTGGTAATTCACTTTTATAATTTCCTATGTAATTCTCTTTTATAATTTCCTAGAAATTAGTAATATATTAAGTTCAACAGACGCTTGGCACAGGATAATAAGCATTTTGTTAAATTTCTATAGGTTTCTATTTATTTATCAAAAATAGAAAAAGTTCCAATACAAAGCTGTGAGATCATCAGTTTCCGACATACTGTAAAATGTTAATTTTGAGAAAAATAAAAAATGCATTCGGAATAAAAAAATCCTCGTTACGGAAATGATCATGTCTATTTTACTTTTATTTTTGCTATTTTTTTTGCATATTCAATGTTTTCGAAATTGAACATTTTAGAAATTTGTGAGTTAAAGTTAGATTCCTTTAAATTTTTCTAAAAAGTTACGAAATTCTTCAGTGTGATCTTGTTTTGCAAGCAATTAGAAATGTTTTTTGCAAGATCACGCTATGTATTTGTTCATTATTGGATTTGATTTCGCCAATGTTTTGTTGCAAAGGCTAAAGAAGTAAGACCTTGTTCTAATTAATCATTTTTCATATTGTTACTATTATAAATTTGTCGTATTAATAAATAGCATGTTGTTAATTGAAATTCCAAAGATTAGTTTAATAACTTAGTGCACTCTGCTATACGTCCTGAGATAAAGCATCGAATATATTCATGTACGAATAATAACAGCAATTTTACCGAGGAAAGAAATTGGCGGTGCTGCGCTTCAATATCATTAGAAAAATAGACCTTTTCAGTATTTGAAAGAAATTTCAAACTTGGACTATTTAGCGGTATCATTTTTTAATAGCAACTCTGTCAAATTGTTTCTATGATTAATGTTGAAAAAGCGCTCAATAGGTTAAAAATTATTTTCGTAATGTCTGCTTCATTCATTCATCCATCTGCACCTCACAGTGTTACACAGTATAAACAAAAATTTCACAACAGAATTTTGTAAAGAATCGCAATTACTTTAAAGCTATAAAATGCCTTTAAATGAAACATTGATCATTTTAAGCAATTAATAATTTTATCAGGCATTTTTCAGTCCTGTTAATTATTCCTTTTAATTTTGCTCATTGGTTGAAACTATAGATATTCTAAACAATTTTATCTTAGCATATTATCATATGAATTAGTAGGTTTCAGGATGATATTACTGCCTTTCATTTTTTCTCTATTTTATCCAAATACTATCAATTTTGATTTTTATCTTTGAAATGATGATGCAAATGTTTAGGGTGAGCATTATTGAATTTGATAGATTTTTTCTGGCTTTTTTTCTTACATTACATATAGCGGCAAACAAAAAATAAGGCTGCATGCACATTTTGTAAAAAATTTATGAATTGTATCAAAAGTAGATGATGACAATATTTCACTATATATTTCAATGAGAAAAATATTTTTTAAACAATTTTGAAATGTTCTCAAACAACTTAGGATTTTCCTCATATACTTATATTGTGATATATTTATATTCCAAATGATAATTATGCATTAAATAATTAAGAGGAGGACTTAATATGTTTTCATCATTCTTCGATTCCCTCAATCTTTACAATAACATCTCCGAGAGCATTGAAAGTTGAAAACTTCTGGAATTGAACGTGCATGGACGAAGTTGCACCATTCGACAATTAATCTAATTTGAGCACAATTTTTACTTTCCCAAAATTTTATGCTTCCATATCCATACTAATTTTATCTTTAACTTCTCTTTCCTGTCACTTTTATATTATGTAACTACATTTGCCATTGACTGATAATTATTAATTAATGTATTTGTAATGATGCTTAATTCTTGGCGTTTTACCCTGTCAGCCTTTTGTAGCAGTTCTGCAATTGATATCGACATATCCCTCTGAAGCGTATTGATTGAAAAATTTATCCTGGAATGTCGAAATAATATTTTTTTATCTTTTATGATCAATAACAATTTAAACAAATATTTTTTTTATATCTGAAAATATCAAATCCTTCAACTTTTAATATTGCTAAAAAATCATTCCTGAACATTGAACTACCATATTTGCTTGATCGAAGAAATAGATTAAAATTTGCACCAGCATGGACTATTTCGGTCATAGGTTTAAAAAGATAAAAACATCATTTTGTCAAGTGTTATGCTTATATTTATTTCATCATCATTGTCATCAGTATCACTATTGTTATTATCATTACCACTAGAATAATGACAGTATCCAATAATATAATCGTTATTACTACGCCAATCCGCCAACAGTTATCTTCCCAATTATCATTACGACCTTTATGACTTTGTTGTCATTGTAATCCCAATTGTTGTAGCCATGGATATCTTCACATTATCGTTAATATCTCTATTCTCTGATTATTCTAATTTCATTATATCTATCACAGTTATGGTGCTAAAATAATTGTCGCGATTACCATAACATAATCAATGGTCATCATCACAATTATTATTGTTATTATTCTAACATTAATTACTGATATTACGTTGCCATCGTATTATCACTTGTTACTCGTCACATTATAGATCATTATGGTCATCGTCAATGTAAATCTTAAACTAAAATATTACCTTTGTTATCACGTTATAACTTATATTTGTTACCGTATCTTTAAATGACTGTAAATAATCCTAAATTAAAATAGCATAAATAAAAAATTAGTGCTAGCATTAGTTTCTGCTCAGTTCGATATATATACATCGTTGAAATGGATGAGAATGAGAGGTGAGATGCCACACCGAGTAATAACAAGCAGTAAAAGTTGCTTTTGCCAACCAATGCATTATTGATAAAATTGTGTTTAAAATTTGCTAAACGTTTTCTTACAGCTGCAATTCTTTACCTCACTTCATCATTTTCCGCGGATTTTAGTCTCTTTCCTGTGAACATCTCAATTTTCGCCTCTATTTTTCTTGTAATTACTACTGCTATCCGCAGTTGTTGCAGCTTCATTTGCTTGACAAACTTTCCTCAATCACAGTCTTAAATATTAGGAAATTTCAGCTTTTTTCATCTTTTCTATCTCTTTCTCTCTGTGGTACAAAAAGAACGAGGAGAAAAGATAATGGTTAGACAGAACTTTGGTTTGCCTGGTGGTTTGAGTCGAGTCGGATTCGTGGATGTTATCTCTGAAGTGCTTCATTTCTCGACAGCTGCTCCTTTCCGAATCATCGTCATCATCGTCTTCTGTTTCAGTTGCAATTCGAGATGGAAAAAGACGAATCACACACTCACATGCAATATACACAATCACTCACTCTCTTTCTGCAACTTTTTCCATTTCTTTAGCCTTTCAGCCAATAAATATTACCTCCCCTCGTACCCCAGCCGTTTTTCGCTTCAAAACAACCGTATAGTTCCTTTGGCTAACCTTCATATATTATGATGAGTCATTTTGATTTCTTTCCAGTATCTATCATTCTTTTCTTTCAGTGACGGAATATTATCCTTATGTTATGGGGATATTTCCAACTGATATCATATTATATACCCTCACAGTATCTACTAACAAACAGATGTATAGATCGGTTTCTTTTTGAAATATTTCAGAAATTTGGTCTTTATTAGAAGTTAAGGAACATTGTTATTTGATCATACTGTTAAATAGATCTAGAAGGTATTGATTACATCATTCTTCCCTTAGTAAACTGATTCCTCGAACAGTGTTGTTTCATATCTTTTTACTTTCTAATGTTGTATTTCAGTCTATTTCTCTTTAAACTTTTCCTATTGCATTCTTTATGTTATGTATAGATGAAAAAATTTGAAATTCTTTTATATTCGACGTTTTTCTTACCACTAACACTAGTTCTCGTCAGCGATGTGAACGAAATATCAAACTGACTCCTTGGTAAATCTAAATTTGAATTTGGAACAACTTTAAGATTGTTTAAAGATTATAATATTATAAGTATATTAGATAACTGAAATTGAAATTGTAAGTCGATTAAAATTAATGATATTGCAAAGATTGTTTCAGTAATTCAAGCTTGTCTTTCAAACGAATAAACTTTCCTGATATCAGATAAACACACAGTTTAAACTAGCATGCCTTTTCTGTTTAGCAATTAAAAAAAATGGCCATTGCCTTTCCTAATTGAAATTTAGATTAAAATGAACCCAAACGGTAAAAGAGTTTTTCTTGCCACATTTGTCCTAGTTTTCTTCTCTGTTTTGGAATTGTTGGAATGGCTGAAAATTCATTTTAAAGAGTGATAGAGAGATTATCGTCAAAATAAAAATAAACGATAGAAGAAAAACTTTAGACACATTCGAATTCAAAATATGATAGAAATTATTTCATCTCTCTACGATATGAGATACTTATCAGTAAGGGATAGGAAACAGAAGTTTCAAGCAAGTTTGTCCAGTAGTTATCAATACTCATACTTCAAAAATCACTTCTTATTGATTAAAAGTTGAGAATTTATTCCTTAATCTTATGTTGTCTTATTTCCTCTTCCTGGTAGCTTAATGTATTATTCCGCGATTTTATAATCAGTCTAATATAATCCGGTAATGAATACTTCCAGATGACAAAATGCGGCAGCATCATTGTAATTTTGAGAGATATATAAAAAATTCTTTGAGACGCAATCTTTAATCTTTGATAAGTGTGAAATTTCTGCTGATATTATTCCAACTGTAGTATCTTAAATGTTAAAGAAAGCAATGGCCTAAGAAGAAAAGTTTAGAGCAAAAGATCAATTTGCTTGCTTAATTTTGAAGGTTTGCATGGATCGATTAACTTTCTTCAATGTATGATATATTTAGATGGTTGCAGCTGCTATTGCAACATATTTCTGCATTACTGACCTGAGGAAGAATTATTTTGCTGATGAAACTTGCAGTATTTCTGATTGCTTTTCTTTCTTCAATGTATGATATATTTAGATGGTTGCAGCTGCTATTGCAACATATTTCTGCATTACTGACCTGAGGAAGAATTATTTTGCTGATAAAACTTGCAGTATTTCTGATTGCTTTTAACTAACTATTTACTTATGTTGATGGATTTTTTGGATTCTTCATAGATCTCTCTTTCTCTATCCCTTTTTTTATTTGTTGCAGTAAAATTTCGAAATTAAATTGATATAAAAAGTTTCGGATGTATGGGCAAAAGCCTCAATCATTCTTTTAATTATTTCTACCAAAATTTAAAGCTGGTTGTTATCCTGGATTTACTATCTTCCTTTGGACTATTTACGTCTGCACTGTTTACGGAAATCTGCATACTATCTGCTATAATAATTTATAGCTTTCTTCCTTTTATTATACATGTACCGAACAATCGTTCATTCGCCAGTTATCATCACTATCTACCCTATCACTCTCATAATTATTATTATCATTAACAACAACGATAACTGCAATACAAAATGTTACGATTTTCGGATACAGAAAAGGACGACGACAAAGCTCTCTCCGAAGAACAGCGATTCTACTATTTGCGGCTGATGGCAAAGCCATCAAGCGGCAAGCATGAGCCAATAAAAACAAAATTTGTTCGCTGGTCACTACCATATCCCCAACAAGAAAGTCTTGAAACTGATCATGATCTCGAGGTAGGTCACAGCATTTCTATTCATCTCATGCGAAGACTTCATCATTTTTATTGATGAATATTTATCATCGCATTGTATGTAATATAAAGAGTACACAGTAATTGATAGTAAGAAAGGGATTCGTTAAGTTCTAACTGTTCATTTATTTTGGTAGAATTTTAATCTGGAAGTTTTTGCATGAAATGCTTCGAATTTTTGAAATATTGAATCTCAATTTGAAATGCAATGTGTTTTGAAACTTCCGAAGATTTAACTTTCAAAGTTTTTACACTCTACTATATATGTTATAGGACATCCAAAAAAATGTGGATTAAAACCTATTGTTCGTAAATCTTTTATCAATCAATTATTAATTACCAATGGAAGATCCTTTGAGAATTTTCATTTATTGAATTTTTCCGATTTTCGAAACTTCTTTTAACTACTTTCATTGTTGAATGCTAACGTATTTTTTTATGGAATTTCTTTTCGTATTATTATTTGTGGCTCTTCATAACTTACTGGAATTAGTTAAAATTTTCTATGAATGCTTCAAAAGATTTTTTTAAGTAAATGATCTAACTTCGATAAAATATGGCACTTAAATTACTGGTTTATGTTTAAATTAAAATGATATACATTTCTGTTAGACGCTATAAATCTTTCATGTCTTGAAGTTAAGTATTCGAATTTTCTCCTTCCTTGATACAGTAAATTTTCCATGTACCAGTCCACGGAAATTTACCTTGTTAATTTTTTTAAGAATCTTTTTTATCTGTTTAGGCTTATTGATTGGAAATGATTTTAAATATTTTATCATTTTGCAGTACTTATGAATTGAAGAGAAGGATTAAATATTGCACGCTTTTCAAAAAGTCCAAAACTAATTGCTCTGACCTTCGTGGCGTTTATAGCTTTAGGCCTTTATTTTTTTCAAAATCATTTAGTAATTTTTAATTGATAAAGCTAATAATGCATTTCGTCATTTCTCATCTAATGTGAACATTTATTGTTATCACCATTCATCTTATCAAAATATTCAAACATTATTTGGGAAAAAATATTCCTGACAGCTAGATTTAGAATAAAATTAAAATTAAGTACATTTTTTCTTTCCTTCATATGAGAAAAATATATAAAGCCTGCAGGTAGTTTCGAGATGTAGCCTGTTACCAATTATTTTTATTTTTGCTTTTTGCTATTTTTGCAAATTCTTTGCAAAAAAAGACGTCAGTGGTGGGAAAGATAGGAGAAATTTTACCACGAGGGTTAAAATTCATCCATTTATAAGATTGTGATATACTTCGTTGCAATATTTCTTTGAAAAAAACAGTTGTGATTTTTCGTTTATTTTTGTTTTCGAACTTTCATACACATAACACACACATCTGTGTGCTATGTATATGTGTACGTGTGTATGTGTATGTGTGTATATGTGTGTATGTGTATGCGTGTATGTCTATGTGTGTATGTGTATGTGTGTATGTGTGTATGTGTATATGTGTATGTGTGTATGTGTGGTTTTTTTTTGTTTGCTTGTTGAGGCATTTATTCCTTAACAAACAGAAATATTAAAATTTCAACCTTTTAACAACTAAGCATGTGCTAAGAGCCTATACTGCTATGTTTGTTATGTTTACCCTCATAAACTAGGAGATATGATTTTTTTCATAATACGGCTGCTTGAAGGACAAAGAAAATAAAAGCAGTTTATTTCACCAAAAAACAATAACGTCAGTTCTCAAAAAAAATATCAAGCATTTGAAATCATACATCAATTTGAATTGAATTGCATATTTCCTACATTGATTTGTTTGCGTGCTGCAATTCATATATCTCATTAGTTTCGTTTTTTTGTAATTTAAGAAATTCTATAGATTTTGAAAAAAACGAAGCAAAAATTAGGAATAAGAATAGAATGATGTGAACTTTTGTTTTGAAACAATGTTTAGCATTAACTTCATTCAATTGATTTCAATAAAATTTTAATATCAAATATTTTCAGAGTCAGGCAATGCGTGTCGTACGAACAATCGGACAAGCATTTGAGGTATGCCATAAAGTAGCACAGGAGCAGATGCAAGAGAAGTACCAAGAGGATTCAGAAAGTAGTTGTAATGTAAGGGTTAAAAGTAAGTTTTCCTTTTTCCTTTGTTTTTGCTGGTTGAAAGTTATAAGTCCAAATAATATACCAAAATTTAATCATTAAAAAAATTTGCATTTGTTGTGAATAAAATTAATTGTTGGAGAAAAATTCGCTTTTTATTTTTACTTAACATTACATGTGTCTTCAATTAGCTCACATTATTGGATAAAGTAATTTGCTGCATGCAGCACTAGTTAGTTAAATTTACTTTGACTGTCTTCATTTTGCAACTTTGTTTTGTCAGCTAGCAGTTTGTTAAGAATTATCATAATCAAATATGAGAAATCCTGCCTTTTTTGATTTTAGGCTTTTGTGATTTAAAGTTGAGAGTTAACTACATTGGAACATCATTATATTAGAAACAAATGTTTTGCAAAATTTTACATTCAAGAAAGTGTTGTTATGCCATACATATTATAAATAAATTAATTTAACTGAGAAATATGCAAAAATTTCTCCGCAAAAATTGTGTTTATTAATTGTGTTTTTTATTAAAAAAAGATCGTTATACAAATTAATTAGTTTAGTAAATTTAATGAATTGATACCATAAATTTTTGCGTGCATTCTTATTATGAATAAATTAATTTAATGGAGGAAAAGGCTGAAAATTCTTAAAAACTCCCATGCGAATTAATATAATTTTTATTCAAATATTAGAAGTGGTAGTTAATTAAGCATCTTTCTCTCTTTCTCTTTCCCTCTGTTTTTTTTTCAAATTTTTTCAGAATTTCATTGCAAATCAATCTTGTATAATTATTTTACTTATACTCATTCATAAATCACCTGCAGTAAAGTTTCGGATCGGGTATTCGTCGTACATAATTCATTTATCAATCACAATTCAGTTATTTAAAAATATCAGCAAAACACATTAGTCTTTTTCTCACGTCACTGAGGAAGAAAATTTTTCTATGTCAAAATTTCCAACTATTTGCCCGTCCATTTTATTATATATCTTAAAGATAATTTCTATTTTTTCAAATATTTGCCAATTATTAAATTTCATGGCTAATGCTCAATTTTATTCCTTCTTTTTTTCCTTAGATTTTGATTGCAATGCTGCTGAGCTGTATTGTTGAATGATTATTGTGAGGATTAAATGAAAGACGGATTGGTTCGAATTATCGTGGCAGATATTTGAAGAATCGTTTTAGTTCATTATGTTCCAAATCGTTTATATTAAATATTCCGGGTCATCTTGATGGCTTGGAATAAGCACTGTGTACGATAAAAATTCATTGGAAAATAGTAAATCTGTCTTTTTTGTGCAAATATATCATACTTTTTAAATTCAATAGTTAGTTTGCAAACGGTTCCATAATTGAATTTCTGCGCTTCACAAAGAAATGATTAATAGAGGGCAGTTAAGATTACAGAAGGAAGTTCACCCTTTTAACGATGAATTCTGAAAAAAGATGGACGAGTGTTTTTGAAGGCAATTGGTGTCAGTCTATCTTCAGGTACTAGAAGTACTTAACACTGACTAAAAAAAGAATTTGTTTTCAAAATTATGCTCGGATGAGGAAAATTTTTTAAATTTAAATAAACTAGACAATGCTTTTTGATAAATTATGTAATTAAATTCAGGCCAAAAATTCCGCATTTGTTTAATTTATTTTTGTTAATTTTCACACTATTTGATACAAATGATTTTGCAAATTGACTGAAATCGTATTTTATTGATTTCAGTTTACTCATTAATTCCTACTTTAGTCAGAGAGACGGATGCAGTTAATTGAAAATAATGATTGATATGTATGCGACATATGCGCATCCAAGTGGTTGTTTTATTTGTCATGAAGTAACTATTCCTTCCCACTAATGTAATATGGATGTTAATATGTCTAAAGTGAAAAGTAAATGGCACACATCAAAGATGTCTTATCAAATTTCAACTTAATGTTAGCTTTGCTCTTTTCCACGAAACGCTGCTGACATTTTCAAAGATCAGTTTACAAAAACGCTTTTCTTAAAAAATTTGTAACATTCCAAACATTTCATCTTTTTGCTCTTCTATTCTTCAATTCTGTTTCTAATCCAGTTATCAAGAATAGATCCAATCCAGAAACTTCGTCTTCTTCATTAGCATCAATCCCAGGCAAAATGCTCTACATGTTTATATCAGTACGGTTTTTTATTTTTTACATTATCATTATTTTTTATTTGGCGGCATAAAATTCTTGAAAATATGTCGCATAATACGTTTATATGTGAAAAGAAATATTTAGCGAAAAGAAATATTTAATATGTTTATATGCGAAAAGTTTAAGAAAAGAAATGTTTAGCGAAAAGAAATATTTAGAAAAAAATCTATAGTTTCAATGTTTTTTGAAATCAGGAATCTGAATTGTTGGATGAAAAAACATTCAGGTATCCGCGATTTCATAGTATCAAGTTTTCTAATAAATTATCCATCCAAAAATTTGCTGCAAAAAAAAACTACCCGACTTAAAAATATCGTGATATAGAGATCTGGCTCCAAAAAACAGAAAGATTGGATCGACCATCATCCACCACATTCTCTCAGAAAGTTGGATTCGTTTCCCATCGGGAATGCCAAGGATGGTGATACTGATGCAAAAGATACTAAATTACATCAAATGATTTTACGAACAGGACGCGAACTTTCTTTTGCATCAGTAATGAAAAAGGATAACCTGGCAAGTAAGTGAAGAGTCCGAAATTCTTTTAAAGACTTCAGTGCATCCCATTTTGTCAATACTATGACGTCATTTTATCAGAAGACAGTGTGTCCAATAGATGTGAAATTCATGAAGAAGAGCTAAATTTTCTCCATTATTTAATAAAAAAGAAGGAAGAGAGAGAGAAAGAAAGAAAGAATCCATAAATCCTTATAATATATGTATTTTTCTCAATGAACTATTAGTAATTATTTTATTCTTTTTTGCGAGAGAACTTATTGTTTCAATTAAACTAACTGGTGATTAAACCAATTAGTAATGGAAATGGATCTATTTGATATCTAGCGATCTAACAAAGTTATACGCTGGAATATCTTTCACAGCAATTATGTAAACTTAACAATTGCTTTTTGTGACATTTCATTTTTTGCTCCTCTCTTCCCTTTTTTCGTACAATTTATTGTTTCCGTCTCAGCATGCTTTATTAATTTCTAAGTTATTTTGAAATAAAGAAAAATAACAAACCTTTTTTTAATTCTTTGAAGCTCTGACTTTGTCCTGTTAGCTTCGAAGAAGTGCTACACAATTCTCTAACAATCGTCAGATGGTATTCGAAAGCATTGATTGAAGTGTAAAAAGCAACTGAAGATCTGTCGGATATACATGATGAATTGGCTTATCATCATTTTAACTTACTTAATTTATTAGATGTCTTTACAAATAATTGAAACCTACAGTAAATTTTTGAAAAAATTAGCAAACTTAGCATCTCTTGGTGAAGCTCATAAAAATAGTTAGGCTTCAAGTAAATAATTAAGTTAAATCACAGTAATTCTAAGGATAAGCAGCAGCAGAATAAAGTTTTATGAAAAGTCATTCTTATCATAGGAAAAAAATTCCAAATTTTGTGAAATATAATTTTTGAGAACAATAAAGGCAGTTATTTTTATGATAATATCAGTGAGCAATATGATATACATTACAGATTCACTCACAAGCACTGAAGGTGATCATGTTGAAGTGGAAGAAAAGCTAGCAAAAGTAAGCGAAGCTTCACATAGTCCATCATCAACGGATGATCCACAACCGGTTCCTACACCTGCTTACCTGCAAAAGCATCATCATTCCATAGTATTTTTGTTGTTGTTGTTGTTTATGGATTATTATATAAGTATTGATATTCAGATGA